ATTTCTTTGCTTGGGCAAAGGACGGACCTGAGCCTTCGGTTCAGGAGCATTCTGTCTAGCAGAGGCCCCTGTAGATGTGGTGGCAGCTGGGGTTGTCACCGTTAAGGCGTCTGGAGCCCTGCCTTATGGCTCCAAAGACCCCACTCTAGGAAGAGTCTTTTAAACAGGCTCAGGATTCCTCTGCCTGGGCAAAGGGCATACTTAAGCCTTTGCTTCAGGGGCATTCTACCTAGCAGCAGAGGTCCCTGTGGATGTGGTGGCAGCTGGAGCTGTCACTATGGAGCCATCAGTTAGGGCTCCAGAGGCCTCAAAAAACCTTACTTTGGGAGGAGGAATCTCCTCAACAGACCCCTCACTCCTTCTGTTAGAAATATTGGAGGGTAAGGAGTGGTGAGGAGGGTGGGCTAGAGATGAGGCAAAGGACTAAAACTAAATTTCTCCTTGCTCCTTATTACCAATACTACTTTTTCAAACTTGTACCTTTTACATTGCTTAGAAAAAGCTTCATGATCTCCTTTGCAGTGGTAACAACATATTGGACCAGGACAGTTGTCATCTCTTTGATGACCTGTTGTACAACACTTCACACACACCCTTGGTTGTCCATTTTCCTTAAAACGGCAAGAGTTGGCCCAATGCTTATAACTTTAGAAGGAGAGCTAGTGTCGACTGTTCCAAACCATCAATTTTCTTCTTAAAATGCTTTAGTGCACCAACATTAAAATTCTTTATTTCTTCTAACAGTTTTTCCTCAGAATACCTCATTAGGTCTTGGGAAAAGACAATTCCCTTACACTGATTGAGTGTTTTGTGACGAGAACATGAGACTTGAGACCCAGGAATGTCACATATCGCACGCAGACGGTTACTCTTGTCTGGTGACAGAACCTGAACTCTCATTTACCATCTCGCTATGGGGTGATGATCAAGATCATGTTGACATACCTCAACTATCTTTCGATGTATTTAAAAAATAACAAGAACCATGACTGATACACCATCTATGGTCTTCTCTACTGGGTATCTACTCTATAATATACCTTCATATTTAGCAGGTAAGATTTCATTAACAGATTGCGGAGGACTCTTCTCCTTCTTGCCTGTTTTGGGAGCTCGGGAACCATTATGATTCCCATTCTTGCACAAATTAGAAATCTTCATTCCCTCCCCCCCCCCCCTCCATGGAGTCCAATGAGGGGAAGCAATAGTTGGGGCTCAAATTTTCCCAATGCCACAGGGGTAGTGCAGAAATATATGGAGTCACTATTACAGTGCTGATGGTAGTTGCGAGACCTATGTGCTACCAACTGAACAATGCCTGTGCAGCGTGCAGCATCGCTCAACCTCCAGAACTCCTGTCTTCTGGTAATATGGGACTCCACGCATGGCAAACACACGGGGGAGAGTTCTCCCTGGTCCAAGATGGAATGAACCAGGGGTGGGTGCAACATCCCCTCTCATATGCCTTGGTGAAACAAGAAGCCATTTTGTCTCATCCCTCACTGGTGACCTCTCACCAGCTCATTGGGACCTCAAGCCCCCCTACCGCGGCAAGGCGGCTACCGTTAGGGGCCTCTTTTCAGGAGGTCAAGAACATGAAATATGAAGTAGCTCTGGTCCTACTTAAAATCCGTTCTATTGTTCTGGCTCAAAAAACAAACACATGCTTCTAGTCAAGATCGAAGCTAGTCCTGTAAATTTAAACATCTCACTAGCATATGCTCCCACCGCAGATGCTGAAGACCAACAAACTGACAGCTTCTAAGACTCTCTCGATGAATTATTCTTATGTAAATCAAATCAAATTATGATTGTCAGTGCGACTTTAATGCTCAGAGAGAGACATGAAGACTTTTGGACTACACAATCTGGGGCTAAGAATGAATGTAGAAATAGATCTATAGATTGGTGCAAGGGAAAAAAAATCTAGTCATCACAAATACTTGTTTTAATGTACACCCCACAAGACGATATACATAGATTAGTCCTGGTGATAGAGCCAGAAAGTAAATATTTATAGGTGTACACACACACCCATATATATTATATTATTATGCACACCATCAGTCAATGTTGACTTTGGTATTGTTTAATCTGTCCTGCTAAAGTGGAGCATCACCGTCGGTTTCCGTAGAATCGAGTCTGCAATAATAATGACCACTTATGTCACAGTTGTAGGTAGATTCACCTACTGGTTGTGCAACACTCCTTTCTTTTGGCATGTTTGATTCTGGCTACACTTCGAAGGCTCTCTGCACCAACTTTGGTGTGTCTCTGAAGGGAACTGCTCCACTCGGAGCGATTTGCTGCAAGGTTTCCCAAGAATCGAGGTTGATGCTCACAGCCTTCACGTCTCACTTGCAGACATCCTTGTAGCACAGTTAAGGGCAACTGGTTCTTCCAATTGCCAGTTCGCCATATAGGATGTCCTTTGGCATACGACCATCGTCCATGCTACTCACGCGACCCAGCCAGCGCAGACACCGCTGCTTTAGGAGAGTTAACATGCTTGGGAAGCTAATCCTCACTACCAGACAGCACTGAGGCGTTGTACACAACCATCTTTGTATCCACGGAGAGTTTAAAGGTCTCCCAGATATGTGAAGTGAGGCGAGCAAAGGTTGTAGCTGCCTTTCCGATCCGCTTGCTGATCTCTTCCAGACAAAGGTTGTCGGTGATGGTGAACCCCAGGTAGGTGAACTAGTGAACGATCGTCAGCAAACAGCATATCTCTTATGTGGGCCTCACGCATTTTCGCCTTAGCCTCCGGGCTAGCAGTGGTAACGTATCGGCCTCTCATCCGAGGGGTCGGCGGTTTTTGCCCCGCCCAGGCACGAGAAGTTGCAATTGTCGCCTGGAGGTCTCTGCTCAGCCGAGTCAGCACCAGCTGACACACTTTAGCGAGTCGGCATTAGTCGACACAGGCCGGGCTCCCCTCATGGGCATAGCCCGGCCGAGGCTTTGTCTTGGGTTTTATCCGAGCCAAGTTGAAGAGTCTATTATCTGAAGTTGTATGGAGAAAGATGACGAGGAAACAGAGCTCGGGGAAGCACGCAGCCTTGTGTCACTACTTACTCTATTTATCTATCAATCTGTTTACATATATCAATCTAGCTATATGTGTATATATATATATATATATATATATATATATATATATATATATATATATATATATATAATGTATATATATATATATATATATATATATATATATATATATATATATATATATATATATATATATGTATGTATATATATAAATAACACACACACACACACACACATATATATAAAACATATGCATATATATATTTATAACATGTGCATATATATATATATATATATATATATATATATATATATATATATATATATATATATATATGTATATATATATGTATATATATACACATATATATATGTTATATACATTATATATATATATATATATATATATATATATATATATATATATATATATATATATATATATATGTGTGTGTGTGTGTGTGTGTGTGTGTGTGTATATGCATACATATATATAAACATGTATGTATAAATACATGAATATACATAAAGATATATATTTATGTATATATATACATATATATTTATATATATATTTATTTATACACATATGTATAAATGTATACATATATATAAATATATGTATATGTGTATGTGTGTTTGTGTGTGTGTGTATATATTTATGTATATATATGATATATATATATATTTCACTATATATAATATATATAATATAGATATGTATATATATGTTTATATATATATATATATATATATATATATATATATATATATATATATATATATATATATATATATATGTATATACATATATATATATATATATATATATATATATATATATATATATATATATATATATATATATATATATATATATGTATATATATATAAGTATATCTACACACACACACACACACACATATATATATATATATATATATATATATCTATATATTTCTATATGCGTATATATATATATATATATATATATATATATATATATATATATATATATATATATATTTATATATATATACATATATATTTATATATTTATATATATATATATATATTTATATTTATAGAATCATACATATATATACATATATATATATATATATAAAAATGTGTTTGTGTGTGTGTATTTGTATACATACATGCATATATTTATATATGTGTGTGTGGGTGGGTGTGTGAGTGTTTGTGTGCTTGTATGTGTGCGTGCGTGTGTTTGTGTGTTTGAATATATATACAGGTATATATATGTTTTCTTCTTCTTCTTCTACTGGCTTGTTCCCTGTGCGGGGTTGCCGGTGTGGATCCGTTATCTATCTGTGTCCGCATCATGATTAGGTTGGCGCAGTGATTTATGACCGGATGCCCTTCCTGACGTCAACCCTCC